AAGGACTTACACGGTGGAGAAGTCCACCTTTATAGGTGAGCCGTAGCTCCAGTCACAAGGTGCAAGAGAACATAATAAAGCAGTGCTCGCAAGAAAGCAGCAACCGTAACGGACAAATGCAAGCAAGTAGCCGTTAGGCTATGGCGATAGGTACGCATCGAACGGTGCAGATATGCCACGTCAACCGTATAGGTGTCGTGGCGCCAGAATATGCAATAACAATGATGCACGTGCTACAGCTAGTCCCCCCCCTGATCTGCAGCAACGTCCTCGTTGCTGCCAGAGGGGGCTGCCTGTACTAGGGTTGAGTCCACCCACATTGCTTCGTGAAAAGGTTGATCGCGAAACGTAACCAAGTATTGGGTTCGTGTCGTGTTCCGTCGTCTGACTTTTCGGGTGTCGATAACCCGGTCAATCGTAAGAGCAGGATCTGCGTCAGAAACAAGGGCAGGTGGAGGGGGTTGTTCCCGCCCCGGAATTCGGAGGTCGTCGTTGGGGGTGAAGGGTTTAAGCAGGGATACGTGGAACACGGGGTGTACCCGCATGTGGTCGGGGAGGTCTAATTTGTAGGCGACGTCGTTGATCGCCTGCAAAATGGTGAAGGGCCCCGTGTATTTTGGCCCGAGTTTTCGTACTTGCGTACGCCCGGGGAGAGTGAGATGTGCTGTGGAAAGATACACCTGGTCGCCGGGCTGAAGTATAAGCGGCCGTCGCTTACGGTCCGCGTACTGCTTCTGCCGGTTTTGGGCGACTGCAATAAGGGCTTTGGCGTCAGTAAGTGCAGTCGCGATATTCGCCAGGAATTGATCAGCGGCCGGGGTGTCGGTGGGTGGTGGTTTGAAAAGGGTTCTCGGGGTGAGGGGGTGGCGACCCGAGTTTAGGTAGAAGGGGGAGTGCCCGGTGGAAGCTTGCAGGGAGTTGTTGATGGCGAACTCCACCGGGGTGAGGAGGGTGTCCCAGTCAGTGTGGCGTGCAGAGACATAGGCGCGAAGCACCTCTTCGATGACCCGGTTGATGCGCTCGGTTTGGCCATCGGTCTGCGGGTGGAAGGCGGTTGAGAAGGACAGTTTAGTACCGAGTAGGCGGAAAAGTGTACGCCAGAAGTGCGAAGTGAATCTCGGGTCCCTATCGCTAATAATGACCCGAGATAGGCCCTTATGTCTGAACACAGTGTCGAAGTATGCCCGAGCAACAGTGGGTGCAGTGGTGTCAGCAGTCAAAGGAGCAATGAGGACCTGTTTTGTTAGTCGATCAATGAACACTGCAATTGCGGTGTGACCGCGAGGGGTTTTGGGAAGTTCGACGACGAGGTCCATCGAAATGTGTTCCCAGGGGGCGGTAGGAATGGGTAAGGGGCGAAGCGGGCCGGCCGGTACCCGGTTGGATGGCTTGTTGCGTTGACACTTGTCGCAACTCCGGACATACTGTCGGATATCCTGCTGCATGTCCGGCCAAAAGAAGGATCGAGTGGTTAGTTCCTCGGTTTTGTCCATCCCGAAATGTCCGGAGATCGTACAGTCATGACAAGTGTCAAGTTGTGACGGTTGGACAGGGTCACACGCTGCCTGTCTACTTCACATGTGCGGAAACCATGCGAAGCTTCTCAGCACGCCTCGGGATCACCTCAGCAAGAGCGCCTCTCAGAAAAATTGCGTCTTCTTGCCTTCTTCCCAAAGAC